AATGTCAAAAACGCTTTGCTTATCGAAAAATTCTGTCAAATCTCAGCAATTGAATGGTGAAATCGCAATTCCCTAGCGTTTTGCTTTTAAGGGTTATTCGGAAAACAGTCACCAATGCTGCTTTTTGCCGACCATAGTAGTATCAGCAGAAAAAAATGACTTGTCGTCCGAATAGCAGATAAAGTCAAGGCTCCCATTGAAAATAAGATGTAAAATGTCGGAATTATGCAATTAGTATTGCATCAGGCTGAAAAGAGGCGTAGGTTCCTAATTTCTTATCAGTTGCAATCGATATCGTGCTTAATGTTCTATTGTATCGAATTAAAGAGAGATGTAGACCTGACCAGCTATTTTATGCAAAAAGCACGGGTGAGTCTATTACCACTCCCATAAGTGTCAACAAGACACTAATCCCAACTGGTAACACCAAGAACAGTAATTTGATGTTATGAAACACAAGTGAAATAAGAATATTGCACGGCAAAAGTTCGGGAAGTCAAATGGAACTGACCCAACAAGAACAGTAAAAGGACAGTAGACCCTAAAAATCATTCATTAATTCATTTTACGTTTGTCCCAACGTTGGCGAATTTCAGAGCAAAATTCTATCTTTTATGGGTCGACGCAACTTCATCTCCACCATGAACAATCAAAAAACTCATTCGGATGGGGAAGAGGATGCTGTAGTTGAACTCACTCTCATGCTACCTCTTCCCCCTCCGCACAAGCACGCGCCCGTAAGATGAAGAAATCTTCTCAAATTGTTCCTTTTTTGAGTTGCATATTAAGTTGTATTATCCATTTTCTCAGACTAACTGAGTATAAGTGTACGTAACATTTTTGTTTTTTCTTCCATTTTCTTTCATATGAATTTCGTAAAAATGAGGCTTCAATTTATCTTCCTTAGAGAATGATATTGGTATTTTCTCATATAAAGGCAAGATTTATCTTCATTTCTTCACCGTTTCCAGTTCTCTTCACTTCAAGATTTTGAAAAAGAATTCGAAAGCTCTCAGTCTTTTCTCTTCACTACTTTTTTCGGTTCTATGAAATTTGGACAAAAAGAATTTCGCCATCTGAATTTCGACAATGTCCAAATTCTAGTAGAATTTTGAAACATGTCGAAATTCTACTAGAATTTGGACAACGTTGGCGAATTTCTACAACTGTCAAAATTTTTATGGAAGTACGATAGAATCTTTTTCTGCTGGGAATTTTGTTGTCCATTTTCCATTAGAATTTGGACAGCGTGTGTGACAATAGAAATGGACAATAAAATGTCCAGCAAAAAAAATTCTGTCGTAATTCCATAAGAATATCAACAATCGTAGAAATTCGACAATGTTGTCCAGCCTCTAGTAGAATTTCGAAACAGGTCGAAATTCTACAACAATTTGGACATTGTCGAAATTCAGATGGCGAAATTCTTTTTGTCGGAATTCCATTTTACCCTTTTATCACTGTAGAGTTTTTTCTGTAAAAATATATATTAAAATATTAATCAACATTTAGTTACATGAAATTACTTTTTGTAGGTGTTACTAGTTGGAATTAGTGTCGTATTAACACTCCTGAGCTTCTTGTTGACACGCCCAGCGAGTGACAATAGCTTCTTGTTGGCACGCACGGGCGTGTCAATAGCTGTCAGTTTTCTAACTACGTACGGAAACAATCGATGAGACTAACGAACGGAGAGAAACAATCGATCAGTGACTCCGTTACAAGATAAAATCAAAGTGGTTTTTCTGCAAAATCCTACAGTCTGTGCTGCGGAATACCTAAAATGTGCGAATATTAAAAGATGCTTTTAGCCAACAACAGCCGTCTTCACAATACTGTATAACTTTCTCTGTTGGTTTAACAAGTGTCGGCCTGTGTCCACAAGCTGAAACCACACAAGTTCTAACCACACAAGCTCTAACTACACAAGCTCTAACCACACAAACTCTGACCACACAAGCTCTGACCACACAAGCTCTAACCACACAAGCTCTAACTACACAAGCTAATACAATAACAACAATAACGTGGGTATCATCGACTGGGGCCAATGATTCTACACCAACAGAAGATCTTACTACAGTACAGTCTGCAGCAAGCTCGACCGATACAACGATTTTTTCTTCCACGTACGTATATCAGATTTATTTGAAAACATAAAACTTCTGCAGAATATCCGCCAGCAGTACATTTGTTATCATCTGAACAAAACGATACGGAATTTTAAAGGCAAAATCAAAATGCTCTAAAGATTTTCTTTCACAATATGAACTACAATTTTCTTTTGGTAACTAGAGTACAGCAAGAGATTTGGGGAAAACCGTCTCAGCAGTATGAAAAATATGAACAACAGGCTAAGCTAGGAACATGTAGCTCAATAGTATATAGCTCGAAAAAGAATTTTAGCTTCTAAATCAGTCAAGTAAACGAACAATGAATACTAAAACTGTTCTAGACTCCCGTGACCCACATAAGTCTTATTTCATTCTCAAAGAAAGGAAATTGGAACCGCGTTTAGATAGAGAAATAGCTCAGACGATGGGAGATATAAAACTTTATGAACTACCTGTTTTGCCGCAAAGGACCCTGCCGGATTTAAAAACTTGAAAGTATCAAAAAGCAGAATAGCAGATTCGATAGAGAATTTTATTGCGTATCTAACCATTCGACGTAGTTTGGGACCCTGATTCCGAATATGATATTTTTATTGCATAAAACTTGATTCGCGATGGTTAAAATTCAGAATACCAACAGAATTCTGATTTTTGCGCCTCTGATCTAGAAAATATGAACTTTCTCTATGACAAAGCACGATGGAAGAAAGAGAGGTATGTACTTCTAAAGCTCGTTTAATGGCGGTTCTAATGAAGTGCAAAAATCGGCTCCATCTTTCCAAAGAAAAAACTAGATAGGTTTGCGAAATTGTTTCTGAGTTTTTTATAGGAGGAGTCTAAGACTAATTGTTTTTTTCTTTTTCTATATTCGTATAACATACCATTCGATTCTGCTTTGTTCGAGGATCAAGAATATTATCCTATTTTTACAAAAAGACATAATGAAAATGAGAAAAATCAATTTTAAAACCAAAAATGATCAATAACATATACGAAGCTTTTTCAATGTTGAATTTTTTTCTGATTGATGCACCCGGCATTGAAGACTCAAATTGTGTTGCTAGATAGAGTTAAGTATCAGGCAATTTTTGACAA